CCAAGCTTTCTTACTCGTTTTGCTAATAAACGTTCTACGTTTCTTATTTATTTGGTTATATATTATACGTTTACTTAGCCTATTTCCAGTTTTGTATACCTATTTAAACTTTATGTAAGTTATTTGTTATTTTATATTAGGCATAACCTGCCCTATAGCATGGTGTATTTTTATTTGTTTTGTTAATAAAAGTTCTATGTTTTATATATAGGCTAAAGTGAGTTTGATGTTGTATTTTGTTGTTGCATTCAAGCAATTGACGCCAAATTGCAGCTAATTCGAAAGCTATTTAAAAGCAAAGGAAAGCGAGGAAAAGAGGGAAAATTCAAATGAACTAAAAACGAACAATTGCTTTACGCCGAATTGCCGCTATTTGAAAGTGAAAGTAAAATGCACACGCCGCTTTTACAAGCTATTTAAAAGCTAAGGAAAGCGAGGAAAAGAGGGAATGCGCCGCCCCCACGGTGATAATGGTATTACCGGTGTTGTCACACGTCGATTAACCGGTGGGAAAATTTCCTCACCATCACAACCCTAGCTGGACTTTCATTCAGATAATTCAAGTTGATGTTTGCACTGGAATGGAATAGATATATTGTCTTGTCTGCAAAATTTCGCAGAGAAACAGAACTTGTGATTGCATCTTAACAGCTAAAGCAGTCAGCGCGGAAATTAATTTAACGCCGCTAAAAATATTGAAACTAAAAAACATATACTTAAAAAAATTGTCAGCTTCACTAATCAGATGTTGGACTATTGTGATACTCCACAATGGCTTTATTTACGTGTTATTATATTTTGCTTATGAATCCACTAACTAAACTATTACATATAAATTACACAGACAAAAAAAAGTTTAGTCTCTTTAAAAATAAATAATGAAAAGTAAATAAATTCACCTTAATTCATATCTAAAAACTTTACGGCTAATGCAGTAAAACATGCTGAGAGAGCAAATTTGGGGATGCTGTAAAACTACCATATGGCCATGAGAAGCAGACATCTCATTTACATCATCAGCATGTGGCAGCAGGAAGAAAGATCCATCATTAATCCAAATCTAATACGCTTGTGACTACACCTTATCAGACACAACAAAATGTGCCCGTTGGGTGGTAATAAACATGCATAATGACATACTTGACCCAACAGACCCACTTATGCAAATCAACAACCAGTAAATGTTTCTGACCAAAGGGAATTTCTGCTACATGCTCAGTCATAATTTTCAAAGACTATTTATTATATGACTTAAACAACCTTTCAAAAGTCTGGGGTTGGTAAGATTTTTTTTGTTTGTTTGTTTGTTTTTTTAAGAATTCTCTTCTGCTCACCAAGCCTGCATTTATTTGATCCAAAGTACAGCAAAAACAGTAAAATGTTGA